GGTCCCCAGCAGACCAGGGGCACCGGGAGCAGCTTTTCTCGCCCCGGAGCTCGAGGTGGCTGACCGCTGCCTGTGAGCTCCGGGGCGAGAGAGCCCCGTTCGTAAGTGCGGATCCAACATAAGTCGGATCCGCGTAAGTCGGGGACTGCCTGTAATACAAAACTGAATCTTGAAAAATCAGTTGTGATTTCAGTTTACAATTTCCTGTGAATATCCAAGGCTGGATTCCCCCAATAGAGTAAGAAGGAGCTCGAGGTGGCTGACCGCTGCCTGTGAGCTCCGGGGCGAGAGAGCCCCGTTCGTAAGTGCGGATCCAACATAAGTCGGATCCGCGTAAGTCGGGGACTGCCTGTAATACAAAACTGAATCTTGAAAAATCAGTTGTGATTTCAGTTTACAATTTCCTGTGAATATCCAAGGCTGGATTCCCCCAATAGAGTAAGAACAAAGTGCTGTTAAAGTAGAAAAAGTGAAATAGCTCTATTTCAATTAGATGTTTTCACTTACTAAAAGTTCTAGTGTTGAGCTATATGAAGTAATGGCAGGCAGTTATAGCCTCATAGCTTTTTCTGTCCCCAAATATCTCCCCTTAATTTATTATCCAAAGTTAATATCTTTACCACAAGACACCTAGAAGAAGGTACCACCTAGTTTCCCATAGCAAATTATTACAATATCCTTAATTAGAAAATTATTGAGGAGTATGTTTTATTGTTGTTAAATGATTAGGGGTTTGGAACAGGTCCCATGTGAAGAGAGATTAAAGAGACTGGGACTTTTCAGCTTAGAAAAGAGGAGACATGGGGGGGATATGATAGAGGTCTATAAAATCATGTCTGGTGTGGAAAAAGTGAATAAGGAAAAATTATGTACTTGTTCCCATAATATAAGAACATGGGGTCACCAAATTAAATTAATAGGCAGCAGGTTTAAAACAAACAAAAGGAAGTTTTTCTTCACACAGCACATAGACAACCTACGGAACTCCTTGCCAGAAGATGTTGGGAAGACCAGGAATTTAACAGGGTTCAAAAAAGAGCTAGATAAATTCATGGAGGTTAGGTCCATCAATGGCTAATAGCAAGGATGGGTAAGAATGGTGTCCCTAGCCTCTGTTTGTCAGAGGCTGGGACTGTATGACAGGAGAGGGATCACATGATGATTACCTGCTCTCTTCACTCCCTCTGGGGCATCTGGCATTGGCCACTGTTGGAAGACAGAATACTAGGCTAGATGGACCTTTGGTATGACCCAGTATGGCCGTTCTTATATTGTGCATGTTCAGTTGTTATTGCCATATATTAGTATAAATCTACAAGAAAATGTCATAAAAGAACAGAATAATCAGACACATAAATGATTATGATTTGTTGGGTAAGAGAGTCAATATGGTTTTTGTAAATGGAAATCATGCCTCACCAGTCACAAGAATTCTTTGAGGGGGTCAATATGCATGTGGACATATTATACTTACATTTTCTGAAAATTTGTTTCAAGGGCCCTCAGCAAAGGCTCTTAAGTAAGCTGTCTTGAGATAAGAGGGAAGGTCCTTTTACAGATCAGTAACTGTTTAAAAGACAGGAAACAAAGAGTAGGAATAAGTGGGTCAGTTGTCAGAATTGAGAATGGTAACTAGTGGTATCCCCCAGTGGCCTGTACTGGGACCAGTATTATTCAGCATATTCATAAATGATCTGGAAAAAGAGGTAAACAGTCTGGTTGGTGGCAAAATTTGCAGATGATACTGTGATGGGTTATGGTCACAGAAGACCCATTGAGATTGTTCCCCAGGTTGTTGATCATGCCACTGATGCCCACCTTCTTGCTCTCTGGGGCTCACCAACATCCTGTCATGCTATACAGATCCTGGTCTCCCCGAAACAAGGCACAGAGTTGGGGTTACCACCCCTTACAGAGCAATACAGACATTGAACCACCTCAGCTCTGGAAGGACACAATTATAGGGCACAACACCAAGGAAACCAACTCCCCAAAGAAATTAATCTTTCTCTGTGTAAAAGTTTGACATAGTGAAAGCTTGTCAGGTAAGCTCCCTTTATAAATGAAAGAGAGATATGCACCGTGGTTGCTCCCCCCAGATAAAAATTATTTACACTGGGCCTGATAGTAAACAAAAGTGTTTTATTAAGTACAAACAATAGGAGTTAAGTGGTTGTAAGTGAAAACAGACAGATAAAAGTAAGTTACTAAATTAAATTGAATAGAAAACACATATCTCGTTCTAATTCATGAAGAAACTTGTCACAGAAATTCTTACCCTAAACAGCTGTTCTTATTTCAGGTCTTAGTTTCAAACCAGAATCAAAGTCTTTTACTCTGTTTTGAGTATCTAGCCCTTTAAAGTTCTTTGTTTCCTCTTACAGTGTGCCAGGCAGTTTCAAAAGCCAGTTGAAGACAAAGGGCTGATAGCTTTCCGGTATTTAAATAGACTCTCCCCCAGGGTGGGAATCTTTTGTTTGTCATCCCCTTCCCCTGGAAAAATAAGTTTGAAATAGATTCCAGTACCAGGTGGTAAGGTCACCTGTCTTCCTAGAGCCAACTGAAACAAGGCTGTTTACAAGTCGTTGAGTAAAGACATTAGGATTCCTGGGCACCAGTAAAGGCTCATATTAGCATATTTAAAATTATAAACAGATTCATGCTTTATATGTCTAACTTCACATACAAGAACAGTATATGCACAAAAATAGGATATATAAATCCAGGGGATTGTAACAGTAAAATTTCTAGGTTACAAGTGGTATTTTGTTTAAAGCATCTTTGAGTTATGCATTTCATATTCACAAGCTAATTTTCACAAAGAATGGGGAGGAGTCACAGATACAAAATTGCTCAAGATAGTGAAGTCCAAGCAGACTCTGAAGAGTTACAAAACTGGGTGACTAAGTAACAGAATGGCAGATGAAATTCAATGTTGATAAATTAAAAGTAATGCATAATGGAAAACATAATCCCAACTATGCATAAAACATAGAGTCTAAATGAGCTCTTATCACTCAAGAGAGACATCTTGGAGTCATTATGGCTAATTTTCTGAAAACATCCACTCAGTGTGCAACAACAGTTAAAAAAGCTAATTGAATGTTGGGAATCATTAAGAAGGGGATAAATAATACAGAAAATATCATATTGTCTCTATATAAATCCATGGTAAATTCACATCTTGAATACTGTGTGCAGATGTGGTCACCTCACCTCAAAAAAGATATACTGGAATTGGCAACAAAATGTTAGGGGCATGTAACAGTTTCCTATATGAGGATATATGAAGAAGACTGGTACTTTTTCAGCTTGTAAAAGAGACGATTAAGAAGGGGAAATGACAGAGGTCTATAAAATCATGACTGGTGTGGAGAAAATAAGTAAGGAAATGTTATTTACTCCTCATAACACAAGAGCTAGGAGTCATCAAATGAAATTAAGAAGCCGCAGGTTTGAAACAAACAAAACAACTTTTTGAGTTAAAAAAAGAACTTCGGGTTACACCTCTTTAGTCTGGCACCCTCAGGACCTGACTGGTTCTGAACCATGGGATATCAATATTGTCTAGCACAGAGATGGGCAAATACCGGCCTGCAGGCTGGATCCGGTCCACCAGGACCAGCCCCTGGTGGGCCCCTACACAATCATATTTACCTGCTCCTCCATTGGTACAGGGATTGCAGCTCCTGTTGGCCACGGATCTCCGTTCCCAGCCAGTGGGAACTGCAATTGCACATACTTGGGAAGTGCGGGCAAGTATAGTCACAGAGGCCTACTAGGGGCTAACCCTGGAGAACTGCCTCCATTTTATTGCCCACCCCTGGTCTAGCAGCATTACCAACACTTCCACTGCTTACTGGGCTCTTAGAAGACATTTAAGGGTAAATTAGATCTAAATAACAGCATAGAACACTGAGAGCCAGGACTGGTGGCTGTAAACAGACTTTATGGGATCAGGGGATATTTGACCACACCAATGATAAGTGGACATCCAGCTAACTAAAATCATGATGGACCATGGATGCTGTTGGACCAGAGAGTGCTGGACTAGAGAGGTTGAACGTGTAGATGATTTCCTGAAGGATAGCCATGGATAGACCTATTAGCCTGGATGGACAGGGATGGTGTGCCTAGCCTCTGTTTTCCAGAAGCTGGGAATTGATCCATTGATGATTACCTGTTCTGTTCATTCCCTCTGATATATCTGGTATTGGCGACAGTTGGAAGACAGGATACTGTGCTAAATGGACCTTTGGTCTAACCCAGCATGACTGTTCTTAAGGGACCTAAATCCCACTGTCATTCAAAGAGTTCCTAAATGTTAGTCACTTTCTATAAATGTTACCTTCCGTGTATTTTGAAAAATAAGTGCATGCCTGTATTTATTGATTAAAAACAGAAAATTATGTGTCATTTTTCTGCCTAAACCTTTTTGATAAAACAAAAGGATTGATATTAAGTAAATGAAAAAATATAATTTTAGATATTTAACTCTTATTTTTAGGAAGGGCAGATATTTTGGGGATGGCATAACGATGTTCATGCTTTTGATACAAACACACAAACTTGGTTTCAACCAACAATTAGGGTGAGTATTTTTTTAAGCCTTTAATCATTCTGTACATTTTTGTAATTTCTGCCACCTATTGAATAATAACTGTCTTTTAGAGAACTATATAAAGGAGAACTATTTTAAACATGTTTGGCATTTCTCAGGCTCATAACATGTTCTCTCATAACACAAGAGTATGGGAACATAAATGAAAGTAACAAGTGGCAAATTCAAAACTGTTTTTCCACACAAGATGTAATTATACTAAAAGTTAATACTACTCAATGTTGTTGAGGCCAAAAATGTAGTAAAATTCAAAGAGGGATTGGATACAAGAATATCCATTGTTACAGTTATTGATCCTGACAAAGAGTATTGGAAAGGAGAAGAACACTAAAATGTGGGTTTAAACGTGTGGCAGGTAAGGCCCAGCTAGTGAAGGCAAGCCCAAGCCCCACCCCTTCCACATGAAGCCACACTCCTTCCCCCGAAACATGCCCCTTCAACAACTTCCTCCCCAGCCAAGCCCCACCCAAATCCAGCCCTCAAGCCGGATCGTTCCTGGCCACCCAGATGGCTGCTGGGGAGCCGGGCTGGCGTGCTGTGGCACTGGCCCACCCAAGCCACCGATCTACAGAACCACAGACCCCACTCCTCTCGAGTTGCCGGGCTGCTGCGCTGTGGGACCTGGCCCTCCCTGGTTTCTGGGAAGCTGAGCTGCTATGCAGCGGGCCCAGCCTTCCCCAGTGGCTGGCGGTGCCCACACCGTGGTCCCAGCCCTCCCGGGAAGCCACGCAATGTATGCAATTTTGGGAAGGCAGTGCCTTCTTTTGCCTACATTACCCACAATCCATGGGTTTAAACCAGACTAACTATCAAGGACTAGGATCACCGTATATCTAGCTACCTGCATTTTCCTCTGAAGCATCTGGTGTTGGAAAAAGAATGCTGGATAAAATGGATCACAAGGATCCATTAGGATCCAGATGAAAGGACTGTTGCACTCATGTTGCATTCTGTTGACTTCAGTGGGGGATCCAGCAGGCACAGGTACAATCCATGCAGTTCCAATTGCAAAACTGAGTCACTAGTCATTAGTGGGGGTGTTCATGGGTAACTGGTTAAACCGTTACCTGGTAAGCATCACCCTAGAAGCCAGCAGTCCCCGATGGGGGCGGGAAGCCACGGTAGCAGCAGCCCCTGCACAGGGCCAGGAGCAGCTGGGCTGGAGCAGTCCTTGCCTGCAGCAGGGGCTGCTTCTAACCTGACCCCACTAGCCCCTAGCTGACTTCTAGTCCCCTTCCCTTTAATCAGTTAAACGTAGAGTTAGCACTTCGTTTAACCAATTAAACGGGATTTAACATCCCTACTTATTAGTGTAGCCCTTACACCTTTTGATATTCATGAAAAAATATGTTTAATATTGAATGAATAATCTGCAGATGCAGTTGCTATGCTTTATGAACCTGTTGCATCCAGGGTTTAATGCTGAGAAAAGCGAATTCATTTTTACAGTCTGAACAGGAGCAGTAACTGATGTCTTGCATATAAGAAATTCTTGTATATTAATAACGAGAAGTCCTGTGGCACCTTGTAGACTAACAGATTTATTGGAGCATCAGTTTTTGTGGGCAAAGACCCACCTCGTCCAATGCATGTCAAAGACGAAGTGTGTCTTTGCCCATGAAAGCTTATGCTCCAATAAATCTGTTAGTCTATAAGGTGCCCACAGGACTTCTCATCATTTATGCAGATTCAGACTAACATGGCTACCCCTCTGATTCTTGTATATTAATATTGTTCCAATAATGACATATATTCTTAGTGAGCTCTCAATAAAACTGTAATGCAAACATTTTTGTGTATTATAGCATAACGTAGAGCCTCAAAATTCTGGTAAGATTACACAGACTCTATTAAAAACTTAGTGGAAGAACTATAACATAGTAAGTTTGACACTTTCGTGTTTCTTTTATGTGACTGCCTATAGTTTTATAAACTTCTTAAACCAGACATCAAGCAAAGTGTTCTATTAAAAGCTGAAACTTATAGTCTTGCAATCCTTATTTTTTTCTTTATATGCAGAAAACTCCCTATGGCATCAGGTGATTGAATAGTACATACAAAGTTTAAGAGATTTATTTTGGTAAAGCACTGAAACCTATGGATGGTAAACACTCTAGGGCTATGTCTACATAGGAGCATTGTTTTGGAATAACTGACATTGCAAAATAACAAAGTCCGTGTCTACACAACAAGCAGTTATTTCAACATAATGTCAAAATAATGTTGAGATGGAGGACTTCTTACTGCGACTCCTGAAACCCTCATTGTATGAGGAGTAAGGGAAGTCAGAGGAAGAGTGCTCTTTCTCGGACTTCCTGCTGTGTAGATGGTGCCAAAAGCCGCAATAAGCTATTTCAACTTTAGCTATGCAATTGACGTAGCTCAAGTTGCATAGCTTATTTCAGCTTTAGCCCTGCTGTGTAGATGTGCCCTAGAAGAGCCAGGTATTTATTATTGCTACTCAGTATTACATCATGGGAGGACCTTCACAACAGACAAGATATTTAAGCAGAAAAAGGGGAAGCTACAATCTAAAACTTATCCCCAGTAGTTACTAGGAATGTTAAATATTGTGTATTTTTAGTAATGTTGTAGCTGCAACAATTTTTAGCAGTTACATGGTTACTAAAATGCTTACCCCCAGGGATGGTGCCAGCAGCAAGTGCACTCCCCACTGTCAGCCCCACTTCTGGGAGCCCCCTGCTTCCCCACACTGCTGCCTCTGATACAGCAGCAGGTTAAAAATCAGCTCCCTGTGCATACCGGCTCCTGCCTGCCATTCTGTGCTGCTGCCTCTGATACAGAGGCAGCAGTGTGGGGTGGCGGCATCATCTGTCTGCAGTGAACCCGGCCCACCGCAGACAGAGGCTGCTCCGTGGCAGCAGCCCCTGTCCACAGGGGGGCCTGAGCTTCCCACAGACAGAGGCTGTTCTGGCATCTCATGGAGCAGCATCTGTCTGCGGCAAGCCCAGGCCCACTGCGGACAGAGGCTGCTCCAGCATCCCAAGAGAGGGGGGTTCATGCAAACATTATGATTAACCAATAAGCCCAACCTTATCAGTTAATTGTTTAAATGACTATTTGCTAACATCCCTGCTAGTTACCAGAAATCCTGACCATAAACCAACTCTGTAGGTTTAAGAAGTCAAAGTTTTATTAAACCCTCTGCAAAATTCCTGCCCTACTGTTGCTTTCCCGCCCACCCACACAGGTGACCGCATATGGACCTTTGCACTTCTGAAAAATAGGCACTAGAGGACTTTTCCACCAGTATTACTGAAGTTTTATACTGGTAAAACTCTAGAAAGCAGTGGAGTTTCACTGCTGTAAAACTGGAATAAGCATTGGAAATCAGGTGCTGGAATTCAGTTAAGACTGAATTCTACTATAACTATGCCAAGTGTCCTAATGCCTTGGAAGTTTTGGATGTTCCCTCAAATTGTTTTGTACATTTGCAATTTTGCCCTCATATGGGATACATTTCAATCTTATTGCTGCATATCAAGTCTTAGTGACTTGCAGTTAGAATTTTATTGACACTGATTAATGTTCTAAAAATGTCTTATATTGGTATTTTCAGGGTGGAGTTCCACCTCAGCCTCGAGCAGCGCATACATGTGCTGTGCTGGGAAATAAAGGTTATATATTTGGAGGACGAGTGCTGGTTAGTAGTTATTTAATGAATATTTTATTGGCAACAGTATTTTTTTTGCTAATTACTTATGGAAAGCAATGTATTTATGCAGTACCAGAAGAGCCAAAAGTGTCTTTGCTCCTAGCCCATGTGTTCAGGGAGAGAAGTCCCAAGATATCTTTACCTCCTGTCTCTCAAATCTTCTGTGCAATCCTAAAGGTGAAAACACAAATTGCCCAAAAAAGAGCATCAGTAGGCCATGGTCACATACCACTCCACTGGTCTTCAAAGATGGCTAGCCACAGAGGGGAGGCACATCCAGTGAAGCAGCTGTGAGATCAGTCTGACTGTTAGGTCTGCACTACTTCCTGCTTAGAGAGTGGTGGGTAAATGCCACAATTTAGCCCTAACTTATGTTAATTTCTGTTTTAATTGAATATGTTGTCCTTAGCTCATATAAAATATATTTTTTTGTTTTGCATGTTTATTAGTAAATTCCGAGAATTCAAACAAGTAAAGCTATTTTCTATTTGCGTTAAACATCAGAACAAAGCTAGACCTAAAACACCATATGACAATTAGTCAAACGAAAGGGTTTTTTTTAAATCTAAAAAATTGAAACAGTGGTGTTACTTTCAATAATAAGGTGAGAGTCACATATTGGGAGAATAACCCAGTCCATTGACATTGTGCAGATAGCATTGATCATATCTTCAGATGAATCCAGGGCATGAGGCATTTCAAAGATAATGAAAAGATATATATTTGTTATATTATAAGGATAGATATGGTATCCCTAAAATGTTCATAAACCTAATAAAATTTGCAAGCTGTATGTATGTTTCCTTAACACGACTTCTTTGAAAGCAAAACTAACGTATGATTTATGGTAGGTTTCAACCAAGTGATAGGATGTTTGTATTCTGTGCTAAACACAGCTTGAAGGGCTTACATGGTTGAACTACTTTTTTTTCTGTTTCAGTGAACAAAATAATAGCAAGTGGTGCATTTTAATGTTGTGGTTTTCATGTTTTTATGTACCATCTCATCTAATCAAAGAGGAAATATATGATACTACCAACTTCTATCTCCTTTCTTCTCCCTCTCCTCTCCCCAATATAATACATGCCAGGACATTACAGAAAGCAGGAGTCAGTAAGGGCCAGATTTTTAAATTTATTTAAGCTCCTGAAATATGGGCCCAAATGCTTAAATAGATAGTAAGTCAATAGATCTGGCCAAAATGAGGCCAGATATAGAAAAACTAAACTATATGCAGCATGCTAACCATATTGTAACACTTACTACCACTATTCTGGATAATACTTTTAAAAAATAAACCATTAAAACACTACTGAAAGAAGTAGGAAACTGGTCCCATATTGCCAGTCAAATTTGTCTAGGAAGGAGACAAGTGCCAATAGTTCATTTTCAAATAGACTCTTTTTACAAAAGATAAGAAATGCTGATTCTTCAACTAGTACCCCATATGGATTCTCCACTTTAGGTGAGTTTATGTCCCTATGTCCATGATCAGTGATTTTTGGTAGCAGTGCTTATTTGGGCCATACATACTCCACCTCATTCCCCTTTTGGTGACTACATAGCCAATGTTCCCTCTAAGATGCTGGGCAGCAGAGCTTCACAGATGATTAATCAGCCCCACCCAGTCAGTCAGCAAGGAGCCCTGAGCCTCTGACTGGGTGCCGGGTGGGGCTCATTAATCACCTGAGCTTCTGGGGAACACTGTGCAGAGCACTATGTGTCCAAACTGCCTTCAGTTCCTTCTTTCTGTACTGTCCTTGGCCTGAGATAGAGCCCTTTGCAGAGCCTATTTAGTATTGTGGTGTTATTGTTTTAGCGATATAATTAGTTAGAACTATGCTTTTCCCTCATTTCTTTCCTTCTTGTTAAAAATATTTATCATTCTTCCTCATGCCACATGGAAATAAAAGGGAAGCAAGGCTCCACAGGCTAGACTTAGATGCCAGAATTATTCCTGTCTGTTACTGCAAGATGAAAAGATTCAGATATGTCTAAACAAAGACTCAAAATGGATTTCTGGTTGCATTCACCTTTGCTATAATCAATATGATTTGCAAACCACCACCAACATCACCCCCAGAACTCGAACACATTTCACCAGATCCATTTCCATCTCTATAGCTTTCCTGAAAAATGTACCAATCACAGAGATTTGTAAAGCAACCACCTGAGTATCAGCCCATACATTCACCGAACATTGTGAAATTGTCCAGGACTCAACATCGGATGTTCTCTTAGGCTATGTCTAGACTGCAAGCCTCTTTCGAAAGAGGCTTTTTCGAAAGATACTTTCGAAAGAGCCCCTTTCGAAAGAGAGCGTCTAGACTGCACGCGGAACTTTCGAAAGAGCAAGCCGCTTTTTCGAAAGAAAGCACCCAGTGAGTCTGGATGCTCTCTTTCGAAGAAACCCTATTTACATTCAAGAACGCCTTCTTTCGAAAGAAGCACTTTCGAAAGAAGGCGTTCTTCCTCGTGAAATGAGGTTTACCGCCGTCGAAAGAAAAGCCGCGTTCTTTCGATTTAATTTCGAAAGAACGCGGCTGCAGTCTAGACGCAGGTGAAGTTTTTTCGGAAAAAGGCTACTTTCCCCAAAAAAAACCCTGAGTCTGGACACAGCCTCTTTGCCCACGAAAGCTTATGCTCCTACACTTCAGTTAGTCTATAAGGTGCCACAGGACTCCTCGGGTCTCCTCATCGCTCTTAGGGACTGGCTGTCTTAGCTTAACTCACAAATCCAACTGTGAAGACCTTCCAATGAGGGACACTACTCTCCAGTCACCCAAAGTAAAGCACCCATACGGGACGCTACTTGAAGAAGAAAAGGGTATTCACCCTGTGCAGTTACTGAGGTTCTTCAAGATGTGTCAGTCTGTGGGTGATCCAGTATTTGCCCTCCTCCCCATTACTTCAGAATTCAGACATGAATACTGTAGTAGAGAAGAAACTGAAAGTGGTTTGGCTGCATAGCACCGTGTAGCTTCCAAAAGCAGCACAAGATGGGGGGTGCATGTGTGGTCCTAATGGGCACTGCTACTGAAAATCTCCAGTCACTAGTGCAGGGAAGCAGACTCCATCTGTCTCAAAGAACTTTCATTACTGCACAGGATGAGTAACTCTGTCTTCTGATCTGGAGAATTTTCAGACTATTGGGCTGAACTACTTGAATACAAATTTCTTTTAATATAATATTACTAAACTATATAGTATCTATGAAGCTCTCTAATACTCTATTTTATCATATGCCTAATTTAAAACCACCTGTTTTAAGGAATTTTTGTTTGTTGTTTTATTTTAGCAAACTAGAATGAATGATTTGCACTGTCTGAATTTAGACACTTGGGTTTGGTCTGGAAGGTAAGTCTGGCCATGTGCCACTTAGTTATTATAGATAACAGATTAGAACTATTTAACAATATTTTTAATGCTATGACAGTAGCTTTTCTGGGAAGAAAATAGGAGTTTTGAATTATTTCAACAGCTGTTACACTATTATGTCAGTTTAATTTAATTTAATTTAATTTGTAATGGCTACTAAACTGTTCTCTATTTTGCTCCAAGGACCACTATTGGGCAAATTTTCAGTACAGCATATAGTGATTTAGTTGTCTCGTTTTCAGACATAGGTAAATTACCACTGATTATACCTAAATTTTACTTTCATTAAGTCTTTTTAATATTACAGTCCCTATAGATCTTATGTCCTATAGATGAGGCTCTTTATAGTCTAGATTGAGGAAAGGTTTCAATGTATATTAAGACAAACATTTAAAAAAAATAAAGTAGAATTTAAAGGGGAAGAATATTTGTTAAATATTTACTTTATGATAAAGTTTTTCAAATTAACACAGGTATTTGTTTGCTACCTATTATTATGCTTGGTAGGGAGCACTGATGAAAGAATCCACTGAGAATAGGAGTCATTGTTTATATATTGTTTTTCATGTAGCTGTTGTAGACAAATAGGAACTGATGTTTGATAGCCGTTGTTTCTGTTCTTTCCTAATTTGCCCAACTGTCATTTCATTGGGAATAAAACTTCTTCGAGTGTGTGTCCGTGTGGATCCCACGCTAAGTGCACACGTGTCTTTTGCAAAGGATTAGAATCTTTGAACATAGTGTCCTTTCAGCCAATCTTGCACCTGTATAGTCTTATGCCCATCACTGTTGTCCAAGTGAAGAGTGGCCCTGATTACCCCTCAATTCCTTCTTGTTGTTTGTTGCAGCAAGACTGCAGTGTCTGCTGCTACCACTTAGTGGAAATTTCTTCTCCTTTGATATTTCTCATCTTGTTAGTCAGGGTTAATTTCTCAATCAAATCTTCTTTTTTCTTTAATGTTTTAGAACATTTAATTTTTCTCTGATGCTTTGCACTACTATTGTAACCTACAGTGGCAGATTCTAAGCCTTTAGGCTTCTTGTGATGGATACATTTCTCTTACAGACAGCTGTTACTGCTGCCTTTTTTGTCTTGTCAAGGATCACGTGACAGACTGTTTGCCATTATTTTTTTACCAGAACAAAGAAATCCAGGGATGCATGATGAACATTATATCTTCTTGAGAACTAAGGGAGAGAAATTTCAAACCTTGAAAAAAATGGCAACCTCTAAAATCAGAGTAGTCGCTTCTAAGTCCCAGCTAGCCAGTGCCCTTGTTAGCTGGTATGTAACACCTAACATCTGAAAAAAGGGGGTCTTCATCCTATCCTAGATCTGAGAAGAATGAGCAAATATGTACACCATCTAAGATTCAAAATGATAACAATTTGTCTCCATAATCCATTCTCTTCAGGCTAGAGACTGGTTTGTGGCTCGTGGCCTTCAAAACATGTGTGATCCATCCAGTCCAGAGGAATTATCTTTGGTAATCAGTAGGGCCCTGTCATGACCAGTATTAGATTGTACCATTTAACCTGTTCACAGCACTGAGAGTCTTCACAAAATGCCTACTGTTGTGGTGGCCTGTCTGAAGAGACAAGCCATTCACATCTATCTATATCTAGGTTATATGGAAATAGTGTCTTAAGTGGATTGTCCCCTTTAGAAGGGAACAGGCCCATCCACTTGGGCCTGCTAAATTGCCTTTTAATGGGACTGAAGAGAATATGCTTGACATATATAAAGGGTCAGACAGCAATCTGGAAGAGGGCACGAGAAGGTGAAATTAATTTGGTGGAAGGTCTCAAGAGAGAGCAAGCTGCTGGAATTCCCCCCGAAAGCAGTTGGAGGAAGAGACCTGGTAAAAGCACAAGCTTAGGAGAGCAACAGAGGAAGTTTTCCCACTTACCACTTTTAAGCCAAGGGAGAAGAAAGATCCTGGTAAGTAATCATGTGGGCTGATGTTCCAGACAAGGAACAGGGAGCTGGGAAGAACCTAGGAAAACTTAAGATCTTAAGAGTCAAGAAAGTTCAGAACCAGGAGAGCAGTGGGGGGAAGTTTTTCTTCTTAC